GGCTCACTGCTACCCTTGCACTTACTGATCCCTGGAACCACCTTCTCTTAGATACATGCAGTGTTCTCTGAGATACACCATCATTCCTTCGGGTCTTCATTCAAATAGCGCTGTCTCAGGGAAGTCTGCTCCGGCCACTCTCTCAATGACTGAAGTAACTTCTCTTGACATTTCCTTTCCTTCCGTGTTATATTTTTCCCCTTAACACTTTTCACAATATATTGCTACATTTAATTTCTTAGATCTTGTTTATTGTTTGTCTCCCTCATGAGAATGTAAGTGTTCTAATTTTTTTTTTCTCTGCTCTACCTTCAAGAATCCAGAATACTATATGGCACATAATAGAACTCAGTAAATACTTATTGAACAAATGAATAAAAATGTGAGGTATTATTCTTTAACAGTCCCAAGTATAATGTCAAGATGAAAAAGAAAAGTATGGGAAGAGAAAGTTTATACCCATGATTACGAGTTTATTGTATGTAGCAGAGTGGATTTGTGTCTGAAAAATGTGTCAAACTGAATGTTTATGAATCAAGATGTTTGAAGTGTCCTAACAGCATTTCTATTTTGAAGAATCTGTGATTGATCCTCTGTACAAAATAAAGGACTTTTAAAAATTAATTGTAGTAATTTTCTCTGATATAGTCCTTATAAATTAACTGTTTTATTAGTTGAGTTTTCTTCAAAATACTCTATAATGTTTAAAAGTAAACAGAAGACAAGTAGCCTTTTAACTTTACAGTGTCCTTGTTGTTGTTTAGTCAGTAGGTCATGTCAGACTTCTTTATGACCCCATGAACTGTAGCCCACCAGGTTCCTCTGTCCGTGAGATTCTCCAGCCAAGAATACTGGAGTGGGTTGCCATTTCCTATACCAAGGGATCTTCCTTTAATTCTGAATAAATTGTCAAGAAACCTATGGAAACTCTGAAAGATATTAGTGAGACCCTAAGCTACTCTATTGAAAACTGTGGAAAATTCTTCAAGAGAGATGGGAATACCAGACCACCTAACCTGTCTCTTGAGAAGTCTGTATGCAGGTCAGGAAGCAACAGTTAGAACTGGACCTGGAACAACAGACTGGTTCCAAATAGAAAAAGGAGTATGTCAAGGTTGTATGTTGTCACCCTGCTTATTTAACTTATATGCAGAGTACATCATGAGAAATGCTGGGCTGGATGAAGCACAAGCTGAAATCAAGATTGCTGGGAGAAATATCAATAACCTCAGATATGCTGATGACACCACCCTTATGGCAGAAAGTGAAGAAGAACTAAAGAGTCTCTTGATGAAAGTGAAAGAGGAGAGTGAAAAAGTTGGCTTAAAGCTCAATATTCAGAAAACTAAGATCATAGCATCCTGTTCCATCACTTCATGGCGAATAGATGGGGAAACAGTGGAAACAGTGGCTGACTTTATTTTGGGGGGCTTCAAAATCACTGCAGATGATGCCTGCAACCATGAAATTAAAGGATGCTTGCTCCTTGGAAGGAAAGTTATGACCAAACTGGAGAGCATATCAAAAAGCAGGGACATTGTTTTGCCAACGAAGGTCCATCTAGTCAAAGTTATGGTTTTTTTCCAGTAGTCATGTATGGATGTGAGAGTTGAACTATAAAGAAAGCTGAGTGCCGAAGAATTGATGCTTTCGAACTGTGGTATTGGAGAAGACTTTTGAGAGTCCCTTGGACAGCAAGGAGATCCAACCTGTCCATCCTAAAGGAAGTCAGTCCTGAATATTCATTGGAAGGACTGATGTTGAATCTGAAACTCCAATACTTTGGCCACCTCATGCGAAGAGTTGACTCATTGGAAAAGATCCTGATGCTGGGAAGGATTGGGGGCAGGAGGAGAAGGAGATGACAGAAGATGAGATGGCTGGATGGCATCACCGACTCTATGGACATGAGTTTGGGAAAACTCCGGGAGCTGGTGATGGACAGGGAGGCCTGGCGTGTTGCAATTCATGGGGTTGCAAAGAGTCAGACATGACTGAGTGACTGAACTGAACTACACTGAACTGATGCAAAGAACTGACTCATTTGAAAAGACCCTGATGCTGGGAATGATTAAAGGTGGGAGGAGAAGGGGGCAACAGTGGATGAGATGGTTGGATGGCATCACTGACTTAATGGACATGAGTTTGAGTAAACTCTGGGAGTTGGTGATGGACAGGGAGGCCTGGCATGCTGCGATTCATGGGGTCGCAAAGAGTTGGACACGACTGAGCAACTGAACTGAACTGAACTGAACTGAAGCTACTCTAATTCTATTGGGAAGCCCAATGGCTCAGTGTAAAAAAAAAAAAAAAAAAAATCCCATCTGCCAATGCAGGAGATGCCAGTTTCATCCCTGGGTTGGGAAGAATTCCTGGAAGAGGGCATGGAAACCCACTCCAGTATTCTTCCCTGGGAAATCGTACAGACAGAGGAGGCTGGCGGGCTACAGCCTACAGGGCCACAAAAGGGTCAGACTTGGCTTAGCGAGTAAAACAACAAGCTACTCTACACAGTTCTGTCCTCAACATCCTTCACCCTTAGCTACAAACCCGGTGAACACCATAAACCATCTGGCAGTTTCCAAAGGGCCCCTAGGGGGCACTGTTGCTCCCACTGAGAACCGGCGCTCTATCTCCCCCTCCTCTGCTCCTCTTGGCTTTTTTGGACCTTAACTCCTCTGATGGCAGTGCAGGGTGGAGGAAGAGGTAAAAGGTGATGTATCTTCTCCCTGGTGGGAGAATCGTTCTTCCCTGAGTTTGCTGTACCTGCTACCTGGGCCTGTTGTTCTAGGAGTCTTTAGCCCTCCCTTTATATTCTGGTGAAGGTTGGGGTGGGGATACTTGGTAGCGGGTCCAGCAGTCTGATCTAGCACCTCTTAGGACTTTCCATGGAGGGCGGCCCAAACCTCCAAGTAGGTAGTACCTCTGGCCTAGGTGATGGAAAAACTGGGGGTGCAGGTGGCTCGTGCGCTTGGTTGTCAGCTCTGTGGTTTCTTTCTCTAAGTAGTTCTGGAGTGATGGAGTACACAAAAGCTAGTTTGATGAGGGTAACTGGGAGTAGTTTGCTCGAATGGAAATCATCCCAGACCAGAAAACAAACCAGAAAACCTGTGTTATAAACCCAGTGCTACCCTTACCAACAGTGTGACTTTGGGCACTTCAGTTCTCGGGATCCCCTCTGCCTCATCTGCAAATGGGATAAATAGTAATGAGATGATAAGCTGACCAAAAAGCACATGAGAAGATGCTCAACATCACGAGTTATTAGAGAAATAAAAATCAACACTACAATGAGGTATCATTTCACACTGCTCAGAATGGCCATCATCAAAAAAATCTATGAACAATAAATGCTGGAGAGGCTATGGAGAGAAGGGAACTCACTTCCACTGATGGTGGGAATGTAAATTGGTACAGCCTCTATGGAGAACAGGTTTCTAAAAAAACTAAAAATAGAACTACCATATGATCCAGCAGTCCTATTCCCAGGCATATACCTGGAGGGAACCATAATTCCAAAAGATATATGCACCCCAGTGGTCATTGCAGCACTATTTACAATAGCCAAGACATGAAGCAACCTAATTCCATCAAAACATGAATGGATAAAAAGATGTGGTACAGATATATAATGCATATTACTCAGTCATAAGACAGAACGAGATAATGCTCCTTTTTGAGCAACGTGGACGGACCTAGAGACTGTGGTACTGAGTGAGGTAACTCAGACATGGAAAGACACATACCGTATGGCATTGCTTATTTATGGAGTCAAAAAACAGGCACAAATGAACTTCTTTGCAAAACGGAAGTAGACTTACAGATGTAGAAAACAAACGTGGTTAGCAGGGGATAAGGTGGGGGGATAAATTGGGAGATTGGTGTTGAAAAATACACACTGCTATAAAAAATAGATAATAGGAACCGTGCTGTATAACACACAGAACTCTAATCAGTACTCTATAATGACCTATGTGGGGAAAGAATATCAAAAAAAGAGTGGGTATATATGTGTGTGTAACTGGTTCACTTTGCTATACACCTGAAACTAACATGACGTTGTAAATCAACTGCACTCCAGTAAAACTTTTCAAAAAGTAATTGTATGATATTATATCTAAATGCTTTAAGTCTTTGACTTCAATACAACTCTGAGCATGGAGGTGTGTATGTGTCTGTATGTGTGTGTGTGTGTGTGTGTGTGTGTGTGTGTGTATAAAGAGAGAGATGTTGATATATATTATATGTACATATATATATATATATATATATATATATCCATGCAGATAATATAGGCTGTGCTTTGCTATGTATCTAAGTGTCCTTGAGAGTGGTCAGAGTTTTGATCTTCACTGTTTGACTTTTTCCATAGTGGTATCAAATTTGGCAAGCATTCTCAAATTGTCGAAGATTCACCTTCTAAGATTCACATCAAATGAAGTGTGTTTTGCTTAAATTGTTATTAAATATGGTGGATCAGAGCATTTTAGAGCTAAGAAATCATTAGTTAATAATGTGAAGTTAGATACTGGAAGGGAGAAGAAGATGCCACCTCACAATACGTCTCTCTGGCATAAGGGGTATTTTGAGCTGATTATTTTTAAGAAACAGCAGACAGAGGAGAAGCCACGGAAACCAAGTAGAAGTTATTCTTTTATAAGAGACATTTATATTTCTAAGGGAAATCTCCATTTGTAATGGTGTCTCCCTCTCTGTACCAGAAAGAGGAGGATGAGTCTAAATCTCTAAAAACTCTTATCAGTGGAGAAGACAGCAACTCATATCCCATTGTTTACTGTGCTTTGCCTGAATACCTCCCATAACTGACTCCTCCCCCTCCACAACATCTTCTTTTGTTTTTAGCAGGAAGCAGTGTTTAAGGTGGTGGCTTGGGCCATTTGGGGAGTTACTCAGTCTTCCTGGGTCTCTCCCATGTATACAGGAGGTGTATGTGTTACTAAACTTCTGTTCATTTTTCTTCTATTAATCTTTTATTGCAGGATGGTCTCAGCCAAGAACCTAGAAGAGTAGAGAGAAAATTATTTTTCCTCTTCTACAACATCTTGCACTTTTCTCAATGTCGAGGTAAATATTTCTGACATAGGTTGTAAGTGGCTTTATCAGTACTTCATGATTTTTTCTGTATCTGAACAATATACAAAACAATACACAGTGCTAAAGACATAGTTATAAAAGGTATGGATGCTGTTGTAAAGGTTCTTCTAATCTATTGTGTTTCACTATGTCTCAGAAGCAGAGCCTAAGACAGAGACCCTTTTCCAAGTGATTCATTGAGGGTGAGTGCTCAGGAGAGATCTCTGATGAGGAAAGCAGGATGAAGAAGGAGAAGGTATGAAAAGATGTAGTTTCAGAAGTCTAGCTTCATCCTGAACCCATGGGATGCTCAGGAAGGCTCTCAGCTCAGTTATTTCAAGGCTTTTCAGCCCAGAGGCAGTGGTCTGGACTATCAGAACCCCACTTCAGGCAGCCACTTGCTACAGGACACCCACAGGGGCCAGGTGTCATCATCTGCCAGATACCGTCAGTTGAAGGTTTTCATCAGCCAAGGAAAAACATAAGCAAAGGTATGTGTCAATACCCACAGCTTCTAGAGGGATAAATAACCCACCCCCGAAAGAGAAAGAGGAGTCTGGAAGGGGCACCGACAGCATCTACGACACGTGGCGTTAAAGGACCTCAATCATGTCCACGTGATAGCCTTTAAGAGCACTTTTAAAGCAAGGGGCACCAACAGCATCTACTACACGTGGCGTTAAAGGACCTCAATCATGTCCACGTGATAGCCTTTAAGAGCACTTTTAAAGCCACATATTAGCAAATGATGGGTATAGCAGCACAATCTGAACATCTAGAGGCACAGAGTGAGTGAGTAACGTCAGCTAACACATAGTGAGTGCTTGCTCCATGCTCCAAGTGTTATGCATCTTTATTCTTCTCAAACAAAGAAATCTACAATGCAGATACTATTATTGCTCCTATTTCCTAGTAAAATTAGTCACAGAGAGGTTATAGAGCTTGATCGGGACCACACAGCTAGCAAGTGCCAGTGAATGATCATTGTATTGCCAGTATATGGGGTAAGGCTTCTCCGCAAAAGAGAAAATGAAATTCTAAGCCCTACCCTAAATCAAAACCTCTTAAGTTGGGCATCTGTTTCAATAAGTTCCTAAAGTGATTCTTCAAAGCCATTTCCAAGTAGAAAACATTTTCCAAGATGGGGAAAAGTTGTACAAAGGACAATGTCATCAAATAAAAATGATCAGGAGAAACAGACGTGCTGGTGAATTTTTGCAGATGGCCTAAAGGAGCTGAGAAGGAAGGTAAAAATAAAATTGAGAATGGGCTTTCAGATACCAAACAATTGCACAGGGGGATTCACAGAATATAACAAAAGAAAAAATGCAAAATGAAAGTTAAAAGAATAGGAAATAATGCCTTTGGTTATCCACGGGGTGGGCTTCTCTGGTGGCTCAGATCGTAAAGAATCTGCCTGCAATGCAGGAGACTGGGGTTGGATCCTGGGTCAGGAAGATCCCCTGGAGAAGGGAATGGCTACCCACTCCATTAGTCTTGCCTGGAGAATCCCATGAACAGAGGAGCCTAACAGACTACAGTATATGAGGTTGCAAAGAGTCAGACAATGACTGAGTGGTTAACACACAGACACGCGCACCCACTGGGTTTTCTCTTCTACCTCTCTGTTGGCATCAGTAGGCATGTATCCCTAAAAATAGGCTAAGCTACTCTTTTTTATTCAGAGAAGAACAGAGTCTTATAAAACTAAGAAGGAAAATAATATTTCCTCAAATGTTTTGGAAATGAAAATACTATATAAATGCAAGGAAATAAATTAATTGCTAACATATGATTAGCAGCATATTTTTATGTTTATATATGACTTTAAGCTCTTTTCTAAAATAACATATGACCCAAGCGTATCTAACTTTCATAAAAATATGTCATCATAGAAGTTGGATTAAAGACACAAAAGGAAAGACAAGACCGAAAGAGGACAATCACAAAGCTTGATGCCACTTGGATGCAACGAAGTATTTTCCAGACAGTTTCATAAAGTAATCACCAAAATATTATGCCATCTCTCCCATTGCCCACTGATCTAATTAAGAAGAAGAAGAAGATATTGCTACTGCCCTAATTCTTTTATAGTATATATCGGGAGATCAGACTCACCACGTCCCCTTTAGCCTGCTGCATTTGCTCATCATAGCTATCCAATTCATTGTGATAGTAATATACAAAAAGAAAAAAAAAATCCAGGTATAATCTAAGTAAGATACTAGTTTGATTCTAATTAGCAAGGTTATTTGTTTGCTGTATTTTCATTCTATTGGTTCATATGTCAATCCATTATTTATAAGGGACTTATAATGATACTTTTTGTGTGTTTCTCTGTTAATACAAGATTAAATACTCTAGTGATTTAGAGAATTAATGGGCAGTCCTCAGTGACCTCAAACTAACATAAGTGGCATAAATCATATAATGGAGGGTTTTGGAGTTGGAGATGAGGGTTGGAACCTCAAGTTTATACATTGTGCCAAGAAACAGGGAAAAAGAGGAGCATTGGATATTTAAGATTATATACTGACTAAACTGACCTCTCTCCACAAACTTACTAGCAGGTGTTTAGAGTTAAATACTTAATCATATTAGTGAAGATTATAAGAAAGCTTTAAAATCTCAGGGCTAGTGCGTAGGCTAGTATTGTTTGGAGAGCATTCAAGAGAAATTGGTTATCAAAGGAAGTGAAAACACACAGTTCACTTAGTAAGTTCACAGCTGAAGGGAAGTTTAGCTTTCATTAACTTGAAGTAAGTCTAACAATTCAGGTGTATAAAACTTTCTACTTTTTCAGCAGGCAAAAGATGCCAGTGATCAATATTGAGGACCTGACAGAAAAGGACAAATTGAAGATGGAAGTCGACCAGCTCAAGAAAGAAGTGACACTGGAAAGAATGATGGTAAACTGCTGTTCTCTTTTGAATTTTATTTGTAAGGGAAATCTCCATTGGTAAGGGTGTCTTCTTCTCTGTGGGGCTTCCCAGGTGGTACTAGTGGTAAAGAATCTGCCTGCCAATGCAGGAGACATAAGAGATGTGAGTTTGATCCCTGGGTCAGGAAGATCCCCTGAAGAAGAAAATGGCAACCCACTCCAGTATTCTTGCCTGGAGAATCCCATGGACAGGGGAGCCTGGTGAGCTTTGGTCCATAGGGTTGCAAAGAGTTGGACATGACTGAAGCAATTTAGCATGCATACAAGCACTCAATCCTCTGTATCAGGAGGAGAAGAATGACTCTTAAGTCTCTAGAAACTCATCAGTGGGGAACACAAGGATTTAAATCTCCTTAGCCACCATCCCCTTGTTTACTGTTGTTAAAAAACAAAATGTGACTGAGTAAATTTGAAGATATAATTGGCCTTATTAAATAATTCATGAGTTGAGCAGCATCCCATCTAGCAAGCAGAAAGGTTCACCAAGGAGCTGTGCAAAATGGAAGGTTTTTATAGGCACAAAGGGGCGGGACAAGGAAGTCATAAACAAAAGAAGAATTATTTCAGGCAGGAGCGACTTCCTTTGGGGGAAGAGCAGGAGGTCTGTCATGCAGATTAGTTCATGCAGACTGGGAAATTCTGGTGTGTTAGGTTTACTCTTGGGAAACAGTGAAACTGAAGTTAAATTCGATATTAAGTTTTGGTTTGTTGATGTGGGGTTTAGCACAAGTGACTTCATTTGGGCCTGTTGTTTGTTTTTTTTTCTTTTTTTTTTTGACACTGTGCTTTTCTTTTATCCTTTTTTTTTTTAATGAAAAAAGTTTATTTGGGGCTCTTAAATATTACAGTTCAGGAGACAGATTTGGGTAAAACTTGAAGAGTGTTCCAGGGAAGAGAGAGTCAGGGGCTTCTAAGGGCATAGCCAAGAGGTTGCATTCTGACATAAGAAAGGGAAATATTTGTCCTTAAGGATAGGTTGTCATGAGTTACTTTAAGGTAATGAAAAGTGTTAGTTGCTTAGTTGTGTCCGACTCTGAGACCCCATGGACTATATAGCCTGCCAGGTTCCTCCGTCCATGGGATTTTCCAGGCAAGAATACTGGAGGGGGTGGGTAGCCATTTCCTTCTCCAGGGGATCCTCCCAACCCAGGGATTGAATGCAAGTCTCCTCCATTGCAAGCAGATTCTTTACCATATGAGCCTCCAGGGACTTTTTAGGGTAAGGGTCTGATGATTATCTTAAGCTCATAACTGGCTGTCCACACCCCTGTCATCCACACCCACCATCTTCTTTTGTCTTTCATTGTAGCAGTATTTAAGGTGGTGACTTGGACTAATTCAGGAAGCTCCTCAGTTTTCCTGAGTTTCTCCCTTGTATACAGAGGGTATACATGTTTTTAAACTTGTTTTTCTCCTGTTAATCTGCCTTTCTTATTACAGAGTAATCTCAGTTAAGAACCTAGAAGTGTAGAGGGAAAGTTATTTTTCCTCTTTCACTTCACTCATTGGAGAAGCTCAGTATAGTTGAAAAGAAGTTGTCCAGATAAAATTCATCAGAAATTAAGAAAATTAATAATCATAATTATCTTTTGATTTAGAGTTAAAATTAACAGTCTGGAAAACTATGTTCCATGAGCCAAGTCCAGCTCTTAGCCTGTTTTTGTTTTTGTATGGCCACTAAACTAAAAATGTTTTTACATTTTTATAGATTATTTTTTTAAAAGGGGGTGGAGAGAGAAAAATAAAATGAAGAATATGAGACATCATATTTTTTAGCTAAGCAATAAAGTAAAGCAATGCATATAGGCATTTTGTTTTTACTTTGCTAAATTGATGTTTCTCTTTATTTGATATTGTTCAAATACTCTTAGCCAAGACGTCATCCCCTCCAGCATTGTCATGGCCAGTAATGAATGAGTACATTCTATTCCTTCTTTGAAAATAAAAATGAGGTCAGGCACAAGAACTCGCTGGTTTCTCCTACAAACATTTGTCAGATCTTAAAAACCGTTACCCGAAGTCCTCTGCCATTAGGAGCAGAAATGGCAAAGAAATAAAGCTTTCTACCAAACAAGCAGTGACTGACACTTGGAAAATGTAGATATGTATTTCAGATCTCTTTGTTTTAGGAACATCAGTAGAACAAAAACTCCTCCACAAGTCATAAGAGTATATTTCATGTTTCTTAAAAGAACTCATTTTATCAGGCCAAAGTGAAAAAAGAAGTTTGTATTATCTTCAAACTTTGCTCAAAACTCTCACTCCCAATGAAAGTTGGAATTTTGGTTTCTTTTGTGTTTATAATTGTCTCAAACTTCCCTGTTGCCCTTTGCACACCAGCAAAACATACTTTGTTGTAAAGATAAAAATTAAATCTTTAAACAGCACAAAAGCTTGGAACACACACCAAAAAAGTTAAAATCCTCCTTTTGAGATAAAGGAGTTAATGTTTTTTTCTTTTACACTTGAAACATCCAAAAGCTGTTTTGTTATTTATATAGCCAGGATTGTTTTATATGCAGTTTGGTCATCTTCATGTTTACTGTTCACTTTGTGACAGGTTCACCTGGGAATTATTGTTTTGGATAAACATCACATACATCCCCATTTTGTCAGGCTTTGTGGTTCCTTTTCCTATTACTCAATGTGTCTTTGCTCTTGGAAGTCAATTTAATTTAGTATCAGACTGACAAAACTACAAACACACACACACTCAGAACTTTCCAGGCCTGAACCCAGAACTCTGACATAGGATGGCATGGTGTCCATCATAGTATGGTGAAGTGGGTCTCCTCCGGAACCATATCTGACTCAGATTCCGGCTCCACAACTTTCTTCTTATGTAACATTCACTTAAGTTAGCTAACACACCTATGCCAATTTCTTCTTCTATAAGATAGGAATAGTGACAATAGATAATTACTATTACTTTAAAAATTATTATTGATATCTATGAACCAGACTGATCCATAATATGCCTCAACCTTGCTATCTAGGTGGTAGCATTGTGAGACTCCCTGGAGGAGGAAATAGCAACCCACTCCAGTATTCCTGCCTAGACTATCCCATGGACAGGGGAGCCTGGCAGCTTAAAGTCCATGGGTCGCATGGAACCAGACATGACCTAGCGACTAAACAGCAACATTGTCAAACTAAGACAACTCTAACTCTTGGCATCCAATTTCTAAAAAGATTTGTGATGACGTTAAGTGAATGTAATAGGCAAAAACGAAAGGCAGTCTTTGTAGTTAATAGCTACCATTTGCTTCACTATCTGTCTATGCCAGGTATTTAATGCAACCTGTGTTCCTTCTATTTCTTAGATGAAGTAGCTAAACCTTAGATAAACTGTTTCAAATAAGGACACAGCTGATAAGTGAGCAGAGCCAAAATCAAACCTGGGATCCCCTGAATCCAGTGTCCATGTTCTTTCCATCATGCTGTGTAAACTTGTATTAAACTGTATATACTTAGAGTTTTGAACCACATACACTCACATAGGATTGTAGGTAATTATTGCTCCTCAATATCCTCAGATCCTAACCAGACAGTGTCAAAACTAACCCTCACTGATTCCTATTGCTGACATCTGGTTGGGGCCCAAAGAGCTGGTGTTTGGAAGAAGGGGAAAAAGTGAATCTAAATCTCAAGTTTGAATTTTGAGGAGGAAAAAAGGTGATTCTAAATCATTGCATATTTCAAATTGATATTGCTCAAATGTGTGCACAAACTCCAAGTATCGTCCTATGAAGGAACCATCTGACCAGTGCCCTGCCCCCAGTTAGAAATGATTTGTTCTAATATGCAGATAATGAGTTTGCAGAGTTATAAGTCATTGTAAGTCTTCTGTCTGATGTTGCTTAGAAGTTCCATGAAAAAATGGCATGAAGATTTTATTAAAACAAAACAATAAATTCCTTAGATAACTTGCAGAATGGTTACTTCATGGACTGCCAACAATAAAACAGCTTTGTGTTAATGTCATGATGATATATTAAGTGAAAACAAAACAAGTTGACAATTAAAAGGAATGAATAACGTGGTCCCTTGTTTGTATATGCATATGTATACATATACACAACACACACACTTATATTTACACATGTATAGAACTTTGCCTCTCTCTGAACAGTATGTTATATGGTACATTAACAGGCTTTGACTCAGCCCATTAATTAAAATACTAAAGCCTGATTTTTCACGAAGTCATTACCATAATTTTGCAGATGACTAAGGAGCAAGCTCATAAACAAAACAAATGATTTGGTTCAGCCATTATTTTTTTTTACTGAACACCAGTAAAATGTAGGGGTCTTCCCAGGTCACATAGTGAACCTCCTGACAGTGCAGGAGATGTGGGGGAGAAGTGGCACCCCACTCCAGTATTCTTGCCTGGAAAATTCTATGGTCAGAGGAGCCCAGCAGGCTATAGTCCATGGGGTTGCAAAGAGTCAGCCATGACTGAACACACACCTACACACACACAAATAAATAGGTTCTGTTCTAGATGCCTGTGATACGTGTGAACAAGTCAGCCAGAGGTCCCTTTGGAGCTTACCTTCAAGTTCACAATCATGATCAAGCATTAGACAAGCTTAAAATAAAATTACAAGTGTATACTTCTGAGAATCCAGGAGTGGTTATAAGCCTGGAATTTAACAATTATTCATTCCCTTCCACCTTCACAGGTCACATTTTTGGAATGAGGAAAAACATTTAATCAATGCTTACTCTGGTAACATTCTTGACTTATGTTGTCAGCTGTGTTCTGATCCCTGGATCCTGTCTCCCTTAAAGAGGCTGGAGGCAGTATCTGCTGAGAACCCTTAGCTGGAGTTTGGCCAGCTGATTAGCCTTAGCTGGAAGATATCCACAAGGACAGAGGAGGGAGCCGCTGTCAACATTTCTTCTTCTCTCGTACAAAGTATGAGTGCACTGGCAGAAAGCACAAGCACATTAAAAAGATAGAACACACACACACAAAATGATTATTATAAATGCATTCTTGGATTCTGCAATATTCTCTATTAAACCAAATGAATCATCTCTTTCTTTTTTCCTTTAAGGTGTCCAAATGTTGTGAAGAAGTCAGGGATTATGTTGAAGAAAGATCTGGGGAGGATCCATTAGTAAAGGGTATACCAGAGGACAAAAATCCCTTCAAGGAGCTCAAAGGAGGCTGTGTGATCTCATAAGAAAAAAAATTTTTTTAATCCCGTGGAATATCTTGAGCTTTAATGATGTACTAATGTTTGGTCATATGTAATAATATGGTTAAGCATATACATAAATTTTAAAATTATAAGTGGTTAATAAAATTTGGAATGTGATAATGTGCAAGTCTATGGTTTTCTTAAAGTACTTACCACAGGGTTTAACACATAATTGACAACAAATATTGATTGATCCCTTTCTTTAACAATGATCTATTTTATAATTAGTTTATATTATTCTGGATGCCAGCATATACTAAATGTTTTTATGTTTCTCCATTACCCTTTCAACCTCCTTAATATTCCACCTAGAAATTTCCTGGTTAGACCTATATTTTCCTCAACCTTTCTCTTCCTTAGGGGATTAGAAAGTCTATTCTTTTGAGTCATGGAAGACCTATATTGGCAGAATATATGCTATGAAGATGTTTGTTGTTGATGCTATGGTTTTTGTATCCCTTTCTGAACCCCTCGTCAGCAGCAGTGGTTTTAATATAACCTCTTTCTACGTTATTACCCATTGTACTTGTCAGCAATAGCATGACTTTTCCCCAGAATCCCAGTTGGATTAAGTGTTCAGTCTGTGGTCATAGAGCACGGTGGATTTAAGCAGCACATGTATAAGGGTTATGAGAAGCCAGAAAGGTCTGGCTCTGGCACTTTACTGCCTACTTGACTTTGGATAAATTACTTAATCTTTCTAAATCTCAGTTTTTTCTACTGTAGAATAGATAATGAATTCCCTTTATAGTCAATCCTAAAGCAAATCAACCCTGAATATTCACTGGAAGGACTGTTGCTGAAGCTGAAGTTTCAATACCTTGGTCATCTGATATGAAGAGCCAACTCATTGGAAAAGACCCGGATGCTGGGAAAGATTGAGGGGAAATGGAGAAGGGGCCAGCAGAGGATGAGATGGTTAGATAGCATCACCGACTCAATGGACAGGAATTTGAGCAAACTCCAGGAGATGGTGGAGAACAGAGGAGCTTGGCGTGCTGCAGTCCATGGGGACTGAACAACAAAAATATATACCAGTTTAACTACAGTATTTAACATAATGTCTGGCATGTAATAAGATCCAATGTGTTAACCAGTATTACTACTGGAAGCAGAACTAGACAAAATATTCAGAATTCTTTAAGATACATGCTATTCCCTGCCCTCCCCATGAAGACTCACCACTATAGTCCTTTTTTTCTATGGCAGTGTAAAGACAATAGAATAATAGCTATCACCTGCACTATCTTCCTAATCAGTTTCTTCCTGGCATCTCGCTGAGTTTTCATAAAACAGATTTCACCATCTTTGTGCTGATGACTAAGAGATAACTTGCCCATGCTTCTGTAACAAATGACAAATGTTAACCTGAAAACTATTTTTACTCCAACTCGGAAACTATTTTTGTTGTTAGTGTTTTTTTTTCTTATTGTTGTTGCTAGCGCACATGTACAGTGCTGTTTTTGAATACATCAACATCAGAATACTTAGACATGCTAATTGACTGTCATCCTTTTAAAAACAAGGTAAAAGACCTTTGGGTCTGCAAGGGAATCTACAGGTTGTTTCCAGGGCTTTCCCAGGTGGCTCAGTGGTAAAGAATTCACCTGCCAATGTAGGAGACAAAAGAGACGCAGGTCAAGAAGATCCCCTAGAGGAAGAAATGGCAACCCACTCCAGTATACTTGCCTGGGAAATCCCATAGCAGAGGAACCTGGAGGGCTATAATTCATGGGGTCAGAAATAGTCAGACACGACTGAGCATGCACGCACACAAAAGTTGTTTCAGGTTTGGCTCCTAGCACAGTGACCTCCTACTCTGACCAGAGTAAATGCTCAACAAAGATCTATTGACTCTTGTCCAGCCCCCTTTTCTTAACACATATCAAACGAGTCCAAGCTCATACTGCTCACCGCAGAGCAGACCAGTAATCTAGAAATGAGTTATTGGGGCAAGGAATAGCAACTTTATTCAAAAAGCCAGTATACCAAGAAGATGGTGGACTTGTACCCCAAAGAACCATCTTGCCTGAGTTAGAATTCAGGCTTCTTTGATACTAAAGGGGAGTGAGTAAAGTCAAACGTTTCCTGGTTCCCGTCAGCCTCTGAAGAGGCTGTTAATGTCTTCCTTCCTGCAGTCATCCGCAGGTGGGCCTGGTCAGGATCCGTCCTGTAAGCAAAACAAAAGTATTTTTCCTAAATGCTCATTACCTGGGAGGCAGGGTTCCCAGAGATTGGCCATTTTGTGTAATATCAGCTCACAGGTAACATCCCGTTAGAGATTAACTCTTTTGTATTGATAGAATACAAAAGGTTCTTCCCTGTTACATAACGTTGTTGTTTGGTTGCCAAGTCGTGTTCAGCTCTTTTGTGACCCCGTGGACTGTAGCCCACCGGGTTCCTCTGTCCATGGGATTTCTCAGTCAAGAATACTGAAGTGGGTTGCCATTTCCTGCTCCAGGGGATCTTCCTGATGCAGGGACTGAACTCTGGTCTCCTGCATTGGCAGGCAGATTCTTTACCACTGAGCCACCTGGGAAGCCCAGTTATATAATATGCTTTTTATATTAAGGGATTCCAAGATAGACTACAGTAGTCTCATCTTTTTTTCCTCTGCAGAGGCTTTTCTCCCCACTGTGGAAAATAATAAAAACCCTCTCCAACACCCTCCCCGCTAGTACTGCCCATCCCCCTTTCCTATTCTAATTTTCCTCCATAGCACCCATCATCTTCTAGCATCCTACATATTTTATCTATTTGTTTAATTGTGGTCTATCTCTAGGGTCTTTTTCCATGTGCCACTTAATGTTCGTTAAGTGTTCCATGTATCTTTTTTTTTTCCTGATTAAAAAAAAACAAAGTCTTGGCTTTGCCATTTACTGACATGTATAGTTTTAACAACATCCTTACCGTTCATCTCTCAACTGGAAATAGATTTGGAAGCCTGATGATTTTAAATTAAAACCCTGACTAATCCACTTTCTAGTTGAGAACTTCAGGTAAGTAATTTCAGCATCTGAACTTTGTAAAATGGATTAAGATGGATCCTTATGTGACTATTTCAAATCACTTAGATAGGAGATAAACATATAGGTAAAAGGTAATAAATCCTACTCCTCTTTTAAGGTCACTAAAAACTCTCTTCGTCTCTCACTCCATCCCCAGAGTATATCTCCTAATTCATTTAACATAACCTTGCTTTCTCTTACTATAATGTATATGGTTGTCTTAGTATTAATGCTATACTGTAAATTTCTTAAGCCAGAAGCTCTGTTCTTATTTGAAACTACCATGCCAACTAATAAATTGTCTCTACAGTTTAATTAACGTAATAAGTGTTTGATTCAATTAAAAGCAGGAAAGGGTGGTGCTTTTTATATTGGATAATTTTTCCTGTTGGCTTATCTAATGGATGAAACCAACCAGAGACTAAAAATTCCTGTTGCTTTAAAATACAGATTGTCAGCAGAAATTTGGATAAGATAAAAGTTATAGGAAGGAAATACAGAGAAAGATGGTCCAGGAAGAGGGAAATAAGATCATGACTGTTTCTCAGCCTGCATAGCTACATCTGGTGGTGAGTGACTCTGGGTTTGTTTCAGAAATTACTTCAGGGTCAGGGATTACGAAAGGAATGAACAAAAAAATGCTCCAGAGTCTTAGTATTTGGCTCTTCAACAGAACTTCCTAGTATTAGTGGAAATGGGTTAAGTACACATTCTTACTATGTCATTTGAGATACTTGAATTTTGATGTTTTGTACACATAAGTGAGTTTAAACTTTAGCCAGAAAAAGAAAAAGAAAAACCCTCAGTGTTATTTTAATTTGGATTGATTTGATTTTAGCCAGATTTCCAAACAAGGCTAATTTCAAACTTCTTAAATTCTTCAAAGACTATATTGCCACAAGGAAAACAGTAAACTGAGTAATGAAAATGACCAATTATATGCAGTAGCAATTAAAGTCTTCTATAGAAAAGATTGATAAATCATTCTGATACCATGAATCATAAGTAACTGTGAATGAAAATTGGAGCATCAGACCTCGTCATCTTGTGATTTCCTATTCTTTTTATTTAGAAGATGAATCTTATGTTATAATAAATTGAACCAATATCAAATGAACCGAGTGCATCAAATGTGGGTTAAATATTTTCCTGAAAGAAACAATCACTTTAATGACCTAAAGAGTCACCATTTACTTCATAAATTTTAGAAGGGCAGAATTTGGGAGATAACCTAATTTTATCTATACCTAAAAAATAGATGCAGAGAGGATCCACGTCTTATAAAAATTACAAGGCAAAACAAGAACCCTGCTTTTTTTGAGCTCAAGTTAGTATTAAATCACTTCCCTGGTGGCTCAGATGGTGAAGAGTCTGCCTGCAATGCAGGAGACCTGGGTTCGATCCCTGGGTTGGGAAGATCCCCTGGAGAAGGAAATGGCAACCCACTCCAGTACTCTTAACTGGAAAATTCCGTGGATGGAGGAACCTGGTAGGCTACAGTCCATGGGGTCGCAAAGAGTCGGACAGGACTGAGCGACTTCATTTTCTTTAGTATTAAATCAACTCCAATAAAACTAACTTCAATATTTTCTTATAGACTTTTCTTTATATGGATTTTTAACAGCATACATTAGAAAAATAGTCAAAGAACTTTTTTCCTTTTCTTTGTATGTCAAGGTACATATGTCATAGTCTTTGCTCTTTTATTCTTTAAGAGTGAAAATAACGACATGGTTAATTTTTTTTTTTTTTTTTGTCATTCTTTAAAACATTTGTCAGGAGACAGTGGGCTGATGATAGAGGTTTGTTTCTGATTATGTCTGTCATCTTCACTGAAGAATGATTTCTACACATACTATTTTGCAAAACAACTTCTATTAGAAGTAACATATATAAGTAAAAATCAACACTACAGTTGGATACAATTAATAATGGACTTTAACATTTGTCTATTCAAAATCTTTGCTTGATAAAATATGTTTTTGAGAATTCATGAGAAATTGCTTACCACGGTTGCTCTCTGGGAGATGAATGCCATGCTTAGGAATAGGGAGCTACCTGCTCTTTTTTTTTTTAAGTACCCATCATTTTACCATTT